AGGCTCAAAGAACAAGACAAACTCAAACACGATCTAATTTCAAATAAAGCTTTGTTTGATTAAATGTTTTTTTTATTTCTCACATCACAGCTTTTGTCTACTTACCGAATAATTTGCTGATGAATTGTGAAGTTGAGTGTGAATTGTATGAGTGTTTGTTTTTAGCTCAAAGCCAAACAATAAGCAATCTCAGATTTAACCATCGTAGGGAGTCGAACTTCATATTTCAACCTTGGAAGTTGAACTTACCGCTAACCCATCAGGGGCGATTTGTAAGAATTTTGATGATCTATAGTCTATACAATATACCAATATATATATGTCTATTTTCAGGGCATTTTAAAATACAGTATAAACTATTTAATTTGTTAGTTTGTTAGAAGAAAAATGGCATTAGATATCTGATAACTTCAGTGATGAATTGTAAGAATTTTGATGATCTTTACAATGTGCTGAAATATAAGCACATTTTCAGTTCTTTTCAATAATTTAATGGAAATCGGTTTGTTAAAACAAAAACATCTCTTTTAGTATCTTTAAGAACTACAGTTTTTGAAATAGTCAAACATTTCCAACTGTAACATAAATTCCTCATCCTGGATTTATTTAGTTTGAAACTTGAATTCACGAATACATAATTCATTGTTATTTATCCTAAACACTAGGTTTGTTCCAGAGAACATGAAATATAATTGGTTGAAAAAATTGTTCATGGTTGATTTCTCAATTCTGAGACAATTTTTCATTTAGTTTTTGTTTTATGAAGTTTATTACAAACTTAACTTCTGACAATAATATTATGACATTTGAAATCATTCTGGTTAGATTTAAAAATAATAATGCACTGTTAGTATCTATCACACGATATTTTAAATGTTGAAAACCCCAGTTTCACTTGAGTAATCCAAACATGTATAGCACGTTCCATTTATATTGCTTGCACTCTCCTGAATTATCTGCAATATGTTAACTTCAGTGAAAAATAGAGTCACCATGTAATTATCTGTCATCTCGAGAGAATAAGAATAAATCTGCATGCATAACTATTTGCAAGTAACACCGAGAACTGGAACTAAACTAGGAATTATAGCTCTATCTTTTAAAAGAACAAAGAAAGGAAATGCGTGAGCTTCGCTGGGAAGGGGAGATGAAACTTACTATTGTTACGTTTTCGTTCGTTAGTTAATTTTCCGTAAATTCGTTCCGACGAAACTTTAGCGACACAAGTCCTTTCTCAAATAAAACTGGTTTATTCTTTCTGAATATAACTTTGCGATACACTTAATTTCAATAGTCGCGCTATAACAAACGCTATAATTCTCAACGAACGTCTCACGTGCTTGCCTCAACAATACTAAGTTCAATTACACACATTGTTGCCCTCAATTTGTGACCGTCTTATTTATACAAGACTACACTATATCTAGAAGGATCCCGAGATTTAAGGAAAGGACGTGAATGTTCGAGAACGACGTGGCGTGATACTAGTCACGTGACCTCTGCTGACGCAACACTGTGAAACATTTACTGGACTGCTGCTGTTTCAAGGCTAACTTAGGCCTTCGTGTGTTATCTATTTTAGAAACGACCCCTCTGTAAAAGTCCTAGTGAAAAAAACGGGAACTAGAAAAAAAGCGGTATGAAGCATCAAATACATTGTTCTTTGGGATGCCTTTTAAAAACAAAGAATATTTGTATGAATATTTTTACATCAAAGTGAAAAAAAAGCATTCTCTATCATAAGTACAAAACATTTATTAACACTATTGAATATTATCCCAGTATGTAAGGAATACACAACTAGAATCTACGTTTTGGTACTTAGAGATTTTATTTCGCTTTCAGAAATAACGTTAAAAAATATTTAATATGGATGGACTGTTACGTGGTGTGAATCTCTCTGGTTTGTTGTAGTTCCCGCAATTCCGTTGGTGTCAGTAAACCCCTGAAAGAAAAACACATGTTTTGACGTGAATAAATTCAAACATAAAATATAATATTAAAGAAGCTCTATCGTAAACTATTGGAATGTTGCATCTGTTAAATATTTAACCAATAATTAATTTATACAGAGGTGCATTGAGTCAATTCTGAGTTATAACAGCAAAGTTTATTACTTTTCTTACACCACATTCAGTTACATGTCAGTAATGAAAGACTGGTTTGTATCAGCTTACTCTACAAATGAAGACTCATAAAAAACTAACTTTACGCCCTAGTTTATATCGTAATTATAAAGTCATTTTTACAATAAAAATATGAAGCAAAAGCAATCAACACAACAAAAGTTTGTTTGATTTTAACGTTTGGTCCTTTACCCACCACTAATAACCCAAAGTACTTTTGTTGTTTCGGATAATATATGATCAACCGCCACAATTAATAATCTATTATCATTATTCAGCGGACTAACTGGTTATTTATTTATGAATTTATTTTCATCACCAAACTTGAATTTCAGTGAAGAAAGCACAACGTATTTCAATGCTTTTACTTCATCTTTTATTCGCAGAAATTCACGTTTTAATACGGAAAAGAAATGCATAAGTAAATATATAGCAACAACTGTTTGCCTTGTCAGAACATTTCTACCAAGAATCACAAGAATTAATTTTAAAAAAGCAGAAGAAAATATTAGAAGATGGAATAAGATTTAGAATCAATGAATTGAAAAATTATTCAGGCTTTTTTGCCTCTTGACATAATTAAATCTTGCTCACTTAACACAACTTTTGTATAACAAAGTCCAACCATACTAAAAAAGACAAACACGGATGAAAAACATTTTATTTACATGATTCAACGAACATTTCGGAACATGTTTATTACGTCATCAGCGAAGCCTGAAACAAAATGTATTGTTATACGTCAGGACCTAGTACAAAACACCAAAGTAAACCGCCGATTTAACGACTTTACAACTCTTCAAATACACGAAGCAATAAAAATCCTACAGCAAACTCCCATAATCAACAAACAATCGACAGGAACAGCACGCACACTGCTACTTCTTGGCGAGAAACCCCCAAGCCACAATACAACACTCCACCAATTAACGCCTTCCACGAGCTAGATACCACCACCTGCTTACCCACTACCTATAAATATCCACCAACAGTAA